TTACACAGAGACAAAGACTATAAAACTTCTTACTTAATGTTATACTGCATTAATGTTTCTATAATCCTTAATGATAGATATTCTTTTTTTAAATCTTACCACCCTATGTAAGATAGTAATGCCACTAAGACTGTAGTGAAAGAGATAATCAGGTACCCCGAAAAAAGTTCATGTTTTGTGTGCGATCTGCCGAAGAAAAATTGCTAAAAAGTAGTCAGCAAAAATCTACATCAATGACTAGAAGCTATGCTAATGTTCTTCCCTCCCCTGAATGGCGTAACCAATCAGAAAATTCTCTTGGTGAACAGAAGTCGTCGTTTTTCGCTTATAAAAGGAGATGATTTTTTTGAGCTGTGAGACGAACATGCGTTGTTGTTGGCGAGAAGTGAAGGTTGGATCTGTGACCCCATTTTGTCATCTCTACGGTGTGTGTTGGACTGACTGTTACGTTGAACTATCATGTGAACTGCGATTTGGTTACAAGTGTTGCAGCTGAGAAACAAGAAATCTATTGCTGTTGCTACGATCAGTTGACAGTCTTTTCTTTACCTCAACAAAGACAAAAGGGGTTTACTGGGTGTGAAAGAATGAGAAAGAAACATTATTAAGGAGCAAGAACAAAAGAAGAAGAGTAATCAAGTGGAGATTAGATAACAATTGATATTGCATGTGAATTTTTGAAGATCAAAGTTGGCTGGAAAGCATGGATCTGGAAGAGAGTTACATAAGCAAGAAACTGTTAGCATGGAACTTATGGTTACATGTAACCAATTCAACTGTGAATTGATGAGACCTTGTTGCCAATCTAGTACTATGATTAAATTCATAAAGACTAGGTATCATAGTGAAGAGTTCATCTGTACAGTTACTATCAAAGTATTTACAGAAAAGGTACATTACAGCAATGAAAAAGTGACTGAAACTGAGACGCCAGGTTAGGACCAATAATATTGCTGATTTTTCGTTGGATTTTATCAAGAATCTCCAGATATTCAGCAGGTGCACAGGACCACATGTGGCAGCAATATTCAAGGCATGGATGTATAGTAGACATAGATTCAGGAGAGAAAAAAATTGTCTAGCATGACAGTGAACCAACTTTCTTAGCAACAGACCTAGTAATAGATTCAATATAATATTTCCACTTCATATCAACTGAGAATCTTAGCCCGAGAAGGTGCAACAAGTCACTCTCACGGAGCTTAGTATCTGCCATGAGAGCAAGGTAGGGTCTTTCAGGTGATTTATAGAAAAGTTTCATTTTGGAGATGTTAAAATTAACAAGCCATTTGTTATCTCAGTTAACAACAAACTGCAGATCATTTTTTTTAGGTCAGCTGCCAATTTGATCTTATTGATCCGGTCAGACTTACTATTGAGGCAGGACTAAATTTGTGTCATAAGCATAGATATCAAATTGAGAACTGATGACATCAGGAAGGTCATTGATGAAAATTAAGAACAAAATAGATCCCAGGATAGAGCTCTGGAGGACACCTACATTAATACAATAAGATCTAGAAGAGTGACCATTCAGGATGACTTTCATTTCAGGATTTGATAAGAAAGACTGAATCAGTTAATTTACCTAGAAATACTATAGCCTTTCAACTTATGAAGATGACTGTTATGCCAAACCTTGTCAAATGCTTTTGAGATGTCCAAAGCAACAGCCTGAACTTTTCCAGTCTTATCTAAAGATTGACAGACTCTTTCAGAAATAATCATTAGTACATCTGCAGTTGACCTAGAGAAGTGAAAGCTATATTGCTAGTCAATAAATATTATGGTATCATATCTTTGTTGATGCATCCTCAGTGATTGAAGTTATTGTAGAGATATGTATTAGCTCACAAAAATATGGAAAACAACATAAACAATGATCTTATATATGGCTACATCCATGTTTGAATTTGAAGGGGATTTCAATCCGCCACAATGAAACTTAGCTTGTAGGGCCGATCGTAAGCTGCAAAAGGTGACCATTATATCAGTATTTTGTTGTTTTGTTTTTTTTTTTAAAATAAAGAATACAATTCCTAAGATTTAAAATAAAAGAAAACAACACAATGTCCTAAATAGGACACATCTGGTAGACTTGAATGCACTTATATGTATACATATATATCTCAAAAATTAGAGGTGATGTGTGAAAACAGACGTCATATCTGAAATCAGCATGGAAAAATAGGTTAGAACACCTATTTTTATTCTTGTTTAAATTTCATTGTAAACCATTGTTATTAATTGAATTTCTGGAGATTTTTCAAATGTGCCAGGAGTTCAAATTTTATTTCTATCAATGTTTTTTAGTCAAATAATTGTTCAAATATAAATATCTATTTCTATATATTGGTCTTAAATATTTATATCAGGATATTTTCAATTTTTCTCTTTCTTTATGATAAATTTATGAAAATGTAATTTTATATTTAATTTAAATGAATTTTTGGTCATGAATAAAATGATACTTAAAAGTCCATGGGCAAAATGATACAACAAAAGTCCATGAGAACAGTATGTCCAGTAAGCAAATTAAAAAATGTCTTAGTAGGTCAGAGAGAAAGTAAACTGAATCTGATTACATATAAAAGTTTGGTTGAGTCATTTTACTTTTATAGAAGAGTTATCAGATATTTTGAGAGAAAAATATTTAGACCAAGAAGTAAGTTCACACTAAAACAATGTGAACTTACACATGTTTTATTTTATTGTTTTGTATTGTGGTTGATAATTATACTATCAGCACAAGATGGCTTGAATTTCATGCTGTCATGATAGACAAAAAAAAAAAAAAAAAGAAGAAAAGAAAATCATGATTAAGATTTAATCACCATGCTTATCTACAAGATTACACTTACATTTGTTCAAGTAGTAGAGGAAAGAACAAAGACCAAGAGACCTGTTGTTTTATCTCAAATAAAATTAATTCCAAAATTGAAATGAAAAAGAATTGATCGATATAATACCAAGTTTTCTCATTTTATTTGATTACTTTTGTTGATAATGATTGTAACAAAGAAATATCAGAAAAAAAATGAAAAGTAAGAGACTGGAGGAAGTATATGGTGATAATGTAGGCACTGATGACAGACAATACTTTCCATTCTAAGACTTCTAACAAAACCAATTTGTTAGGAAGGTTTCACAAAAGGATGAAAATGAAAGAATTTTAAGTAGCATCCAAAATAAACAGAGGGTGGAGTAGCAAAGTTATTTACTTTTTATAAGTATTCAAATTATGTTAAACAAAATTTCTAAAATTCAGAAGAAACTAGAAGACTGTAGGTTAAAAAAGTACAGTCTAAAGTGATTGTTTTGATTGATTAATGTAATTATTACATAATATATTTTAAAGTTATTAATAGTAAGTAACTACAAATATTTTGGAGAGATAAAGATAACTGACAAGGTACTGCGTTTAAACTTTTTATTTAATTTTTCTTCTGTTCATATAAGTTTTTTCTTTTATGGACATAAAGTGTGCAAAAATTGTCCGAATGTTTTGCATGTCAGAGTGCTGTTGGCTATTCTTTTAACCATTATCAAGGATTTTTTTTTCTATTTTTAATTCTAACTGAATATGTAGATTTATATGTATCTATGGTTATGGGAATGTTTGTTAATTTTCCAAACATGGTCAGGACATTTTGACTGTGTTCATAGTTGATGTTACTCAGTGTTGCATTTTTCTTTTTTATTATTAGTGCTTCCATTACTTTTTTTCTTTTTTTTTAGATATGGATGAAGTTCTTATAGTCGTATTTTCTATGAGTATGTTGCAGATGGAGTTTGGTAGGTTTCCATGTGTTTAAATGAGTTAGAGAGAAGTAACACAAATCTTCTTGATATACATGTAGTGGTATGCCCAATAACATTATATAATTATATATTTTTTATTACCACCCCTTTTTGTTGTAATTATTTTTCTTTTAATATGCTCATTTTAATCACACTAATAAGATATTATACTGTTTTATTAATTGTTCCAATTTTTTCTTTAATGAACTCACATTCTTGTATTCAAGATTAAGTGATTTGTTTTTTTACAGCTTAACTCTTTATAGATTATTTAAAGATGAACACACATTTTGGATTGTAAGAATAATTCTTTCCTTATTTTATTTTTTTTGCAAATGAATATTGCATTAACAATTCTTTGATTTTTTTCAAGATACAAGTCCTACTATTTAATCCATAGCTGGAGGAGATGGATTCATACCTTTCCAAAGGGTATTTGTACATAAGTGAATGTTATGAAACTAATTGAATTTGAACTCAGCCTTTGATTTCTAATTCCAATCCACTATCACCTGCACATGCACTTGTATTTAAGAATTAGGAATGCAAGTTTAAATCTCATTACCTACTGGATGTAGACTGTAAAAAAAAAACTAATTGTTTCAACAAAATCTTAATTACTAATGACAATGCAACATGTTAGAAATTCAGACATGATTATGCAGTATGACAAATAATTTTATGTAATTTTTATTAGGTTCTTTTGTTTAATATGCATCTGCATATAGCAGATCTAATGGTGGGGAAAATAACTTAATACAAGATAAAATATTAAAAAATTAAAAACTCTGAAAAGTTAAAATAAAGCCAAATCTTTGTTCAAATTCCACCAACAATAAGCATTTTTAATATTTGCTGTTATTTTATATATATTTTTAGATACATACCTTTATTCTTGCATATTGTCAGCATTTAAATGCCAAAAGTAGTCATTAAAGGAAGAAAGTAACTCATCTGTCAATACACCACACATCAATAATAATATAGAAAAGAATGTTATATCTGCTTACCTGTAAGCCTGATTGGCGTTCAGCTACAAACTCTCGTCCCATATTGCCAAAAACTTTTTTGGGTGGCATCACCAAACTGACATTTGATATGTGCAGTTCTGTATCAAGGGTCACAAAGTCACTGTAGCGCTTACGGATTGTCCAGTTATTTTCAGGTAAAGGACCTCGTTGTACCCGGACAATATATTCCTGAAATTACAGACATAGTAAAATGATGAAAACATTTTCCAACGATGTCTTGCTTTAATCAGTTTTTAAACTTCTTTTTAAGTGCGTTCTGAAAGCAAAGGAAATGTTTATCATAGATTAATTCCACAACACAGAGAAAAAAATCACTGTAAGTTCAGACTCGAATATCGGGGACAGAAAGAAATGCTGAAAACTCGATTCGCAGGTACTATCTCTCAAATTTCAATGCACGTAACCAATCAGAAAAATAACTCGCCGACAAACACGGTAGCCAAAATACATCAGTTTTTCCTCTCAATTTGAGAACAACTGCTTTTATCGGCTGAGCAGTTTTTTCATTCGTCGACAACTGGGAGAGGATGCCAAGTATTTTGAATAACAAAATACTTTTATAGAGACTCCTGTGACGGACTTGTTTTTAATCTAAATATTCCATCTTCAGCGTGTCACACGGAATACGTGCCCTTTTTTGGTAAGTAATTTTCTTTTCTGTCGTAGGATACACGCAACACACTGTCATTTGATTTGATGAGGTAAGTTGCTGTTTTCTTTGCTATACTTCCCCCAGATCTCATTATCACAAATTGAACGACTTGGAGCAGCTCTCTTTATCCTGGTGCTTTGTCGTAATGGAGCTATCTCCCTTACACGTGTTGGAGAGTCGTCTCCTGAGGAGTCATCAGACATATCTCGAGTTTCCGGAAGCATCGGATTCGCAGATCTCAATTATCCAATCACTGTCAGACGATGAACCATCATCGGATTCACTCGGCAATGTATCAGAATCAACAAAAAGAGGAAGATTTTTTACATCCTGTCAACTATTATTGCTTGTGGACTTACAATGTTCGTCATGTGACCCATTTGATACCTGGAGGTACACCGGCCATGGGGAGCTTTCACCCATACTCTGTTCCCAACTTTGTATTTATCATGATTCTTCCAACAATCAGGTGGTAATGTTGTAGTAATTCCCTTCACTTTCAGTTGGTAACAGTGAATCATATTGGCAGGCGCATTAGTTGATGATATATCATCTTTCGGTGTGATATTATGCCAGTATACTGCCTCCGTTATCGAACATTGCTTTCTTGCTGCAATTCTCTTTATGCTCCGATGAGATCTTTCCACTATACCATTTCCTGCAGGAAAATAGCTGCAGCGAAAAAAGTTGGACTCCCCAGTCATCCAAGAACTCTTTAAAGGACTTACTGCAAAATGCAGTGTCATTGTCGGTCAGGATTTCTGATGGTGGACGTCGTTCAAAAAAAATATTTTCAACACTTCTTGAGTCTTGTTGAAGCAGGCATCGCCACATCGCAAATCGATTGGGGCCACAGTCAATTAACGTAAAGTAATGTTGCCCACCATAATGCATAATATCCATTCCTAAGCGGGTCCAAATTTCAGTCACACTTAGGTTGCCACAAAAACAACGACTTGAGGCTAGGTCAATTAATTGCAATTCTTTACATTTTCTGACCCCTGCATTGATGGCCGCCTTGAATGTCGTAGGGGAGACTCATCTCACGAAATACAGCGTTCGCCTGACGCCAGGATGTCCACTCTGGCAATGTATGGCACGTATCTGATCAGGAGAGGTTTCGTTCACCATGGAAGTGCATATCGGGCATGTTGGTTTGATTTCCTTCTTGATCACATCATACCATCATTGCGGTACTCTGGTGAGCTTATCTGCTGGATTCTCACTCAACGTTACCAAACTTATTGTGATCAATAAGTTATACTCTTGAATCAGCTTTTCAAGAGTACTCAAATGCCTCTGGATCAGCATCTCACTTGCCACCTTAGTCCGTATTCTGGCTTTGCCAGTGAGCATGTTAGATACCCACCGGTGCACATGCGGAGTCCGTGAAGTGGTGTAGCTCCGTTGCACCCCACTGTAGTGCTAAATTGACGCCATTCAGAATAGCATCCAATTCTGGTAAATTGATATGTTGGGCATCCTTTGCAGGCCGTAGCCAACATGCATCTTCTACAATGCTTTCGTCAACCTCTAACAAAACCCCTGTGGCGAGAGAACTTGCATCAACCCATACCTCATAAGCGTGTCTGCTTGTGCACCACTTACCATGTGCAGGGTCATTCTGGTGTATTCTTTCCGCTATGTCCTCAATCATGTTCTTAAGGGGAGCATCTGTCACTTCGTCGTCCCAACCAGACGTGATCGATACTGTCCTACGTTTTACAAATGATGCAGCAACACAAAGCCACCCACACACAAGAACGTGACTCACCAGTTTTCCACACCATGAGAAGACGTTATGTCACATCAGGACCTCAGGCACTGATGGAATGCCATTTCCACGTTTCCACTTAAGTGTATTGTTATCTTCTGCGACATGCAAACCCAGCACACGCGTGCCATCCTGTAACTGCTCCGGATCCTTGCAGGTCAAACCAAATGCTGGCAAGTGCTCCTTCACGTGAGCTGATGAAATCATGCTCTCATCAACATAAATATCATCAATATATGCCCATCTAATTGACTCGTCTTTCAACAACGCAGAGCCCACAATGGCCTTCATTATGGCTGGTGCAACATTCAACCCGAAACCCATTCGGGTCAAGCAATATCTTTGCCCCTTGAAGATTACCATTTGAAAGAGCCAAAGTGACTTATGGATATGTACTTGTAGATAGGCCTGCCATATGTCAAGGATAGCAACATCCAGTTCTTTTTTTACGCCACTCCCTCAGTTTCTGTGTGCACACGTCAGCATTGGCTGTGCGTGCGTCAAGACATTCATTCAGCTCTCGATAGTCTAATACTGGCTGCACTTTTTGTTTTTCTGCACCACCTCCATCAATGGAATTAAACCTTTTGGGGGACCAAGTTCCTTTTCAGGATAAGGCTGCAACCAACCGTTATCAAGCCAGGTCTGCAGCTCACAGTCGTATTCCTCCTTGACTCTCGTTGGTATTGGGTACTCTGGCATCTGATTTCTCAAACTCTCCAGTGATTGACCATCAGACCACTTCCATGATGTGACCCATATCTTCCGGTTTGGATCAAATTCGGCACAGAAATCAGGTTCTTCTATTTTAATAATGGTGTAACAAACTATCCCACGCTTGGGAAACTGTACATAGCCACACTATGTTATTTGGAGTCCACCCAACTTTTTAATGGTGTCAAACCCAAGCAACAAGTCAAAACCCAATAGCTCTCCATCCACTATCAAGACTTCGATTTTGAGGGGGTTTGCATTGTCCACGTCAAGCTTAATACTTCCAAATCCACAACATTTGAGAGTATTTCCATTCATGGTGAGTACATTCACCTCCGTCTCCCACCAGGATTGACAGGCTAACTTACTCACGAGTGTCCGTGAGCAGCCAGTGTCCATCAGTGCCACTCTCTTAATTCCGTTCATATAAATACCCAAGACGGGCAGCGCTTCAGTCATAACTCACTTAGGGAAGAGACCAGCGCTGACGTCTTGTCCCCTTCTTCATTTCCCTGGACACAATGAAGCAATGTGGCCTACTTCTTGACACTGGAAGCAACACATTGTTGTGTGGACCTGCATGACTGATGGGCATCTTCTTGAGAGCATCGATAACACCGCATACCCTCCTGATGTTTAACATTTGGATGTTTATCAGCTCCACCTGGTGAAATGGTAGCTGCAACCATTTCCTCAGTTGCAATATGATCTTTCATTATGGCCCGAGCTCGGTCCAACAGTTCGTTTGTATTCATGTCTTCCATGGAATATAATTTCTTGACTTAAGTATAAAATATATATTGTAACCCAATTGTCTAAAATTGTATTTAAAGCATTTTTATAAAAATATGCTACAGTACTGTATCTTCAAATGCTTAAGTGAAATTTATTAATATTGAATTTACTATTCACCTTTCATTGACATGAGTTCATTTATTTAACATTGAAGAAGAGACTTCAATGTCTGAACAAATATTTATTCTTTTCAACACATTTCAACCGATCCAGTCTTCAGTCAATGTCTGATGGATTACACCTACTGTAATGGCAGTAAAAATACAAAGAGATTTCAATGTTCAATGTTGACCTTGTAAAGGACTCTTCTGAAAAGTTATACAGTGGAACCTCAACTTACGAACACCTTCACTTACGAAAAACTCACCATACGAACAAAAATTTGTCAGAAAATGTGTTTCCATTTACAAATTAATTTTGAGTTATGAAATTAAGAATGGGTATTTCAAACTAGATATTTGATATAAATATAATCTAAATACTTTTTATTCTTATCTAAATATACTATATTTTATATTTTTACTTTTTATACCGTATTTTTACTTGACTTGCAGATATATTTTATACTGTATTTTTATTATATTTTTATGTTTTATACACAGTGTACATTATTATAATATATTTTGTACACAGTACATATTTCTTTACAGTTCTATCACACTAGATGTAGCGTGATACTACGAGCATTGTATCATCCCGCTCAGCCTTTTTTGTTACCTCGTAGAATAAACATGTGTAGTGTACACATATTTGTGATTATATTAGTGTAATTGTAAAAAAATAATGTGCAAACATTTATGTACAGTAATGAATATAGTACATGTACATTACTGTGCATTACAGTAACATGAAAATTTTATTAAAATTTATTGAATTAAAAGTAGGTAAAATGTGTTTTAGTCTAATATACAGTGTATAATCATTGAAATTGATATCAATACAGTACAGTAGAAAAATGTAAAAACAATTATAAAGTTTAATCAGAGTAAAATAAAATGTATAAAATGCAGGTACAGCATGTAAACTACGCATCCAGTTCAGGTTGTCAGGTTGATTTGTACGGTACATATCATCACTGCAGTTTGTTCCTTTACATTTTTCCATACAGTTCCTGTACTGTACAATAAATTTTAAATTTTAGTGGATAATTTTTTGATAATTTTTGTAGCCAACGATGTCACCCAAGAAACTGGTTGCTACCAAGAAGAGGGAAAAAATATCTGTGCAAATGAA